TGCTGTGCTTGTGTGAGACACCAAGCGAGAAATACAGCACACACAGGCTTCACATCTAGATCAGGAGTGAATAATAATACTTAGTATCATCAGTTTCATCACCCGAGTGATTATAGGAAATCCTGCGCGCTGATTGGTCGAGACCTGGGTGATTATTTTTCGATAATCACCTCTAGGGTTTACATTGTAGTGGCGCCAAAAATGGCGGCTAGATTTGTAAATGTTACAGAAGCCGAAATTGACAAATTTAAAGAAAATGCTGTCCCCAAAAGTACCAAATATCGGGCAATGATACTAAAACAATTATTCGCCTCAGGCTCGGTGAATCTTGTTGAATAATCCCCTCGACTTCGTCTCTGAGATTATTCAACAAGATTCACCTCGGCCTTCGGCGAATAACTGTTAAATAATATAATTAATATATAATCTATTATTATTCACTCCTGTCTATATGCCACGACACACGCGTGTATCCATCAGCCCACGCATCATTACACGACTGTACAATAACTGCCACCTGGGGTTGCTGCACACACACAGAGGATCGAGGTACTGAGGGGAGGAGGAGGAAGAGGAGGAGGAGGAGGAGGGAAGGATAGACATCCGCCGCGAATACCACACTTCATCATCTTCCGCGCAATAATCCACGATGAATAATTAATTCCCCACGCCATTTTGCTACATTTTAGCTTCGTAATACTCAGGTAGCAAAAAATCGCGACTTACAGTGCACTTCTCATCTAACCGTATTATAACAGATATATTTAGATTACATTTATCATATCATTAGTGCACCTACATCACCAAATACTCGATTTGCGAAAAGAGTTCCAAAACCGAGCCGAACAAGGGCGCTAGCATTACTTCACGGTAACTAATTCGGCAATACTTATCGACTTAACTCTGATCGCTTCGCCGTAACCGCGGCGACGCTGATCGCCTCGCGGTAACCGCGGCGACGCTGATCGCCTCGCGGTAACCGTGGCGACGTGCGGCGACTCACCTGGATATCTCGTGGTGCAGGGACATCTCGCGCTCCTGCGTGTAGACCATCAGGCGGTTCCAGCTGCGGTTGATGACGCTGAACTTCAGCTCAGACTCGACCTCGTACTGCCCGGCGTTCCCCGGTCCCATCGCCTGCACAGAAACGCAAACACACAGACGTACGTCAGCCCACCGCCCCACCGCCGCCGCGTCTCGGCTCCACCGCTGCCACGCCGTTGGCTTCAGGGGTCCGTTGTCAGAAACAAAATTAGCATTAACGTTGAACTTAACGTTGACTTTTTCTTCGTAGACGGGTACCTCTATGCACTGCCCTTCTATGTCTTTGTGTGATTTACGAGTTAACATTAATATAAACGTGTCTTCGTTGACCGGACCTGTGTTCACTGCTGCGTATGAGAAACTCTTAACTTTACCAGGTTTCTGTCGAAATTCGATGAGAAAAAGTTAATGTTAAGATTAATGTTGGGACTAGTTTTGTTTCTGACAATGGGTCTAATGCTGTACTTGCAGTCTAAGGTCCGCGTGACCACTTTCCGGAAGCCCTAGCCTCACTACATTAACAACGACATAGTGGCGCCATCTGTGGGAACGTAAACTATCGAAAAATACACAAACTGGAAAGCCCAATGCAACGGTGGTTATAAATTAAGCTTCTAATAAGCTACAGGATCATCTGGGATGGACGCAACGACAGCCAAGACTGCAGTGCGACTCGGTGCATCGACATTTCTTTCATTTGCTGATCTCCATCTTCCACCTACGTCTAGCTCCTTGTGCAGAATATCCAGTTTGCGAATGTCCTTCAGGCGTTGAGGAATGTCCTCGGCCTTGAACTTGTTAAACTCCTGCAGCAGTTTCTGAAATCAAATCGATACCGTCATCAGAGTCCACGCTCTCGCCGGGATGCGCAATTTTTTTCCTGACCCTTTCAGCAAGCACAGTGAACATTTAGCCAATCAAAATCGACTTCTGACGTCATCAGTTTCCACTTTAGCTGTGTGCACTTGTGGCTAGACTTGCAAACCGTAATAAACTTGGCGATTCATGGGTTCGATTCTCGCCGAGGCCATACTATTTTTTCTCGCCATTAAACAATCAATGCACAGCAACGCTGTGTAAAATCTGGCTCGCTACACTGGTGACGTACACTGTGCTTGCTGAAAGGGTCAGGAAAAAATTCGCTGCCGGGACGAGACAAAGTATCCCCGCCTCCCACTTTGTTTCTTCTTCGTTTTCTCGTGTCGATTCTGGGCTTCAGAAATTACGCTGCTGTGGTTTTTCTAACACACTTCGAATGGGCGAGGATTTCTGCTCTCTTAAGCAGGGGACACACCACGCAAATTTATTCGCACGTCCGCAGCGATTGTTAAAATCGCAGCGAAATTCGCATGGTGTCCGCTCAAGCGCGGGCGAACTTCGCTGCGAATTTCATCCGCACCGAAATTTGCAGCGATCAAACATGTTTAATATTTTCGCTGCAGACGTGCGGTCGTGCGGTTTATTCGCATGGTTTGTCCCAGGCTTTACGGAGCACATAGCCTAGATTATGATAAGGTGACCTTACGGACGACCTAACCCTAACCCCCACCTTAACTCTAACCATAACCCTCACTCTAACTCTAACCCTAACCCTACCCCTGACCCTAACTTTAAGAGCTGAGCATATAAATCGCCAATGATGCCGTCACGCGTGAACCACTTAATAGCAAAGAGCTGCTGCAGTAAAGAAGGGCCGCCGCTCTCACCTTCATGTCCGGGAGAGCGTTGGGAAAGTTTCGATCGACCATCATCGCAGTCGCTTCCTTGTTCCAACGTTGGATGTAGTGCGCTAGTTCCCTGTACTCGTCGTACTTAGCCTGCCTCTCCTGTGGAAAAGAAATGGCGGTTTATACACTAATGCAGATAGGAGAGAGTGTCCCAGAGCAGTATGTGTCTCTAATGTATATATTCAGAAAAAGATGGCACAGAAGGTGTAAGGGTAAAGTCTGGAGGGAGAAGGCGAGTTCTCGTGAGAAAGAGAAAGAGAGAGAGAGTGAGTGAGAGAGAGAGGAGAGAGAGTAGGAGAAAAGGTGAGAGACAGTGAGAGAGGGAGCACGCGAGCGAGCGAGAGAGACAGAGAGGGAGAGGGAGAGGGAGAGGGAGAGGGAGAGAGAGTGTGTATGAGAGAAAGAGAAAGAGAAATAGAGAAAGAGAGAGAGGGAGACAGTGAGAGAGGGAGTGTGCGAGCGAGCAAGAGAGAGAGAGAGAGACAGAGAGAAAGAGCAAGTAAGAGAGAGAGAGAGAGAGAGAGAAGGTAAAACCTAGTGATGTATTATCGTTGTACTTACGGCTTCCTGTAGAGAGTACTGAGGAGGAGGTATATCAGGGAATACGTTGTACAGTGATGAGATGTAGGTGATCAGTGACTTATCATCTGGTCGTGCGACATCGACGTCTGAAAACACACACATTTTAATATCACATCTCCTCAACAGCCTCGCCATTCGTGACTACAACCTACCACTAATTTATCTCAGCAATTACGTTAATTAATTTAATTTAATTTAAATTTAATTACGTTTACGTTAATAATTAGGATGGCTTGTTAATATCGAGGCTTCACGTCATTACGTTGCACAGTGACGCCCTCTATTTTAACTTTAAACATCACTGTGATTAATACCTACACCTCTTTTACCTCTACTTTTGATTACCATTACTGACTTTTCACTGATTTGTACATATTTTTAAAGATGTTACGATATTTATGAAACCGAAGATGGTTTATAAACCAAATCTGGTCGCTAAATCTTTCCTGTGTCTCTGACATTCACAGCAGGTACATACAGAGTGTTTTTCCCCTCACCTTCTGGGTCTAGTAGCTTCGTCACACCAAACTGTTGCTCTGCTATCGTGAATGCAACGTGTAACCGCTTTCGTGGCGGCATCGACTTTAGCTCCTTGAAATCTAACAGGTCCGGCCTGTGGAGAGGGAGAAGAATCACGGTTAATTATATATCTACATACTCTGCTACACAACAAAGTTATTATTTGACTTTAGCTCCTTGAAATCTAACAGGTCCGGCCTGCGGAGAGGGAGAAGAACAACGGTTAATTATATATCTTAAATACTCTGCTTACACATCGAAGTTATTATTCGAGAAAGCATTTCACCACAGAGGAGAGCATTTACCTACACGTACAGAAAATGAATAAAAAATGTTAAATTAAATAACAAAACAACAACAATTAATTATGTTATTTTTATGTTATATGGTTTTAAGTTATTTTTATGTTATATTATTTTTTTATTAATTGTGTTAGGTTTTATGTAATGTTTATGTTAACTTTAGTTAACAAAAATTAACAAGTTATAATTGTTTTCGTTCTCACGCAATCGAATCTGGCCAACCAGTACCTAACTACCATACGTGGCAAAGACGTGCGAAAGTCACGCAATATCCAGACACAATAAAACTCGTGGAATCTGAATTCTATTATCACTATCAGTCAGAATGAACACCTTGCTCGGATCCTTGACTGATCGTTCATGACCGCAGGCCCTTTTACTGCATAGCTAGAATTTCAGGCGAGCACATTCCAATTCTAGACTTTGCAGCAATTGCAATGCAATTAGAACTTTGGTATTTAGAACTGGTGATTTGTTACAGTTGGTGGCGCGACCAAGAGCACGGGTGTGTCTAAGTCATCCACCCATGCTCTACCCACACGTTACTGACCTTTGTAAAACAGAACATAGCAAACACCACCTGCTACCACCAGGGCCATAGCCAGAGGTAAATTTTGTAGGAGGCAAATGTTGTGAGTTAAAGAACAAGGAGCGAAGCGAGCCAATAGGGCGTGGGGTATGGGGCTCGCTTAAGGGCCCCAGAAGAAATTTTGTAGGAGGCATTTGCCTCCTATTGCCTAATGGTAGCTACGGCCCTGGCTACCACCCCCCGCCCCCTTACACGCCTCTCTTACCACAGCAACGGCTAACCCACTAGGAATACTTGCTACCAGAGGTGAATGAACACAAATGTTGATGATTGTTTGTGATTGTTTACGAATGTTTGTATTTACTTTTGATGATATCAGGAGTGAATGAACACAAATGTTTTTTTTTATTGTTTTTACTCGGTTTGTACTCGGTTGTTTGTCCCAACAGACAAAGATTTTTTTTATCATCTTGGACCATCACAGAACTCATTTTTGTTCAGTAAGTTTTTTTTTAGCTTTTGATGACTGCGCCTTAAATGCTAGTAGAAATGAAGTTAATGGGTACACAGACGGAGAAGGTCAATAGCAGCAGCACGCCGGTGTGAAGGAAGGCCACGAACAAGTGCCTGGGAGCTAACGACGATCTAGATTAGATCTCACGAAAACTTGGATTTATGTTCTATGGCTCACACCCTGTGACTTAATCTATTCACTCCTGATATTATATACACGTATGTGTGTGCGCGCATGCGTGCGTGTGTGTATGTGTTTGTGTGTTGTGCGTGCGTGCGTGACTAAAGCCCGGCGCACACGTGAGTTATTTTACTCAAGTAAAATGACGCATGCGTCAAATTACTCAACGAAAATCCGCCGCACACGTGAGTAAAATGACTCATGCGTCATTTTATTTGAGTCAAATAACTCACGTGTGCGCCGGGCATTACAAGTGATATCACAATGATATCAGACGCTCAAAGAACAACGAACGAGAAGACGAACGACGAAGACGCTCAAGCTCAAAGAACTGTGCAATAAATACATGCGTGCAAACAGACGGATCACCGCATCGGTATGTACTCCACAGTTCACACACACACACACAGCAGCAGGTGCCACCGACACACCTTCATATAACACACATGATTCACGTAGGGAGGGATGGCAGAATGTTGGCAGAGTGCCAAGATTAATCACGCTCGGACCAACCAACCAATCACACAATGTGAAGCTGGGCTGGGCCACATGCTGCCGAGAGTCCATAATAGAAATTTGCTATTATGGACTATTGATGCTGTTGCTGAGAGGGTCTATGTCCCCCAGCGTACTGACGGAAGGTACCCTGGGTACGGTCCGGTATACCGGAACGTACCCTGGTACTATCTAATATGCCAGACCGTACCTCGCCTACTGCACTAACGAGTCTAGGGAGTCGCCTACGCCTACTCCCTAACCCTAACCCTAACCCTACCCCTAACCCTATCCCTAATCTTAACCCTAACCATATCGAATAGTTACCAGGGTACGTTTCGGTATACTGGACCGTACCCAGGGTACGTTCCCGCAGTACCCTGGGGGACATAGACCCTATGAGCGATGCTGTTCGATGCAGACACTTGGAACGTTTCTATAATATTCACTACCAGTACCACAGTCGTAATGTTTCTCTGCGCTCTTTCAATTCAATCCAATTCACTTTATTTACACTTATGACAATTACATTTTGGAGGTACATTAGTCAAAAATTTATTGACAAGATCATAAATATAAAGATATGAAACTAAATAAGATTTGTGCCATAACTGTTGACGGACGGACGCACGGACGGACTTTCATGCGATTCTACAAGCTGCATCTGACTTCGTCAGATGAGCTAATAAATACAAGCAATGGAGGGCGAAACGACAACGTATTCAACGAAATGACAAGTAATTAATCTTTCGCTTATTATCAGTAATAATTTCCTGAAAATACAGTTCACGTGCTCCTCTGCACCACACAAGTACACAACACGCACGCACCTACGTGCTCCTATGTGTGTGTGGCTATATTCGTGGTTTGCAGAAAAAACAAACCCAGAGTGGCAGGAGTTTGCACCTTGAGCAAATGCATTTAGCCACTAAAATCGAATCTGGGTAAACAGGGGTGCATTCAGCCGCATGCGTGGGGACGATTGCTGAGGTTTCTGGCTCGTGAAAACTAAACATGCACTAGCTGGTGTCGCGATGACAGACAACTACCGTGGGTGTTTGAGACCTGTAAACTGAACTAGTGACTGGCTGGGCAGTTTTCGGTAAAATAAACAAGCACAGCCATCACCGGGACACTGCCATTGCTGCAACTGTACTACTGTCATCATCAGCATCATTATCATCATCATTATCATCATCATCATCATCATCATCATCATTATCCCCACCACTACCCACAGCCGTTGTCGCTATCACTACCAGCATTGATGACAGTGGTAACAACAACGACACCACCACCGCTACCACCCACCAACAACAACAACACCAATAACAACAACAACAACAACAACAACAACAACAACAACAACAACAACAACAAAAACAACAACAATAACAACAAAAACAGTAACAACAAATATACCAAAACCATCAAACACCAGGCGGGCACTTCTCATAAACTAATACCCCAAAGAGCCCAACTGAAACCACTATTACCACAGACCAACAAAAAATCGTTGCTACAGTAATGCCTATTATAACCAAACTACTGCTAACATACAGTGTTAACATATTCGACTAGGTACTTCTATAACATTAATTACAACGGCCGCAGACAAGGAAACGCCTTGTAAAGCTATTCAAGAAAGTTGTCCTCTACCCCAAACGCGCATTTTACGACCGCATGAGTTTGTACACGTACATATCACTCTGCGAACAGACAGCGGGTGGGAGCTGTCTGCACGCCACATACCTGGATCATGAACGCGTGAGCGGAATGATAGAATGAGTGAGAGAGATGATAGATTGAGAGAGAGAGCGCGAGAGAGGTGGAGAAATCGCGCGCGAGAGAAAGAGAGAGAGGGAGAACCAGCGAACGAGAGAAAGATAGAGGGTAGATGAAAGCGGGAGGAAGAGACAAGGA